ATGCATGTACTAATGATGGCTAAGTCCATGGGAGCACATGAAGTTTTCTGATGACACCATTGTTTTAATAGCTCATGTTAGACTCAAATATTTTTTGCAAAGTACTGCTAATGAATGATGCAATAAATAACTATAGGCTTATTTTTTACATAACCTTAAATTTTCACAAGCTTTGTCATTTGTCTAACTAAACCTCTTTCTGATCCACACATACTCTTGCATAATCAATTGTAGTACATCTTAGCAGATTCCACTTCAGGTTATACTGAATTAGTATTAATATTTTTTCAACTTACTTAAAATATTCTCTGTTCTAGTTGTTTAACATAGACAATTGATAGGCCAATTCTTCAGTCACTTCAAACTCATCTGTTATGACTCCTTGAATAAATAACAACTGAGCAGTATCAGTAACATCTGTCAGCTCATCAAGAGCCATGGAAAACCACTTGAAACATGTGACAATTAAATTGTTCTCACTCTTCTCAACTTTTCGAGCATCTGTTCTTGCCAGAAGACTAGTAGTCTTTGCAAGTTTCTTTTCCTGAACACATAGTTTTGGATGCTGCAATTACCATAATTTAATTAACTCACTATTGGTGAATAGCTTTCCTTGTTTGGCTAACAAATGAGCCAATTTAAAAGATACTATATTGTAAAGGTCATTTTCTTTTTTGTGAAGCAATTTTGCTGTGATGAGATATTCTATTTCAGAGTTTCTATTTCTTTTTAATTTTTTTCTTACTGCATAAGATGGGAATATTGTGATGATTATTTGCTCTAGTAATATTGACATAATGTTCTTTAAGCACAGCTATGATGTTGTTGCATAATGAACACAGTGTTCTCTATCTATTCAATAACAGCATAACCCATACTCCACTGGTTCTCAAAAGCATGATGTTTAAGGTCCACTTTTTTTTTTTTTTGAGTTGGAGTCTCACTCTGTCACCCAGACTGGAGTACAGTGGCTGCTCCTGGCCACCACCTTCTCGACCTGCTGGGCTCCGGCCATCCTTCCGCCTCAACCTTCAAGTAGCTGGAACTACAGGCGCACGCTACCACCCCTGGCTACTTTTTGATTTATTGTAGAGATGAGGTCTCGTCAGGTTGCCCATGAGGGTCTCAAACCCATGGGCTCAGGCAATCCACTCACCTCAGCCTCCCAAAGTGCTGGGATTACAGGCTGAGCCACCGAGCCCAGCTCACTTTTTTTTTTTTTTAATTTTAGCAAGACCAGCCCACCAGTATCCAAAGATCCATGTTTCTTATTTTGCATTATAGTCATATATTAATAATAAAAACATAAAATGTCATGGTATGACACCAAACACTGTCAACTTGTGATCTTGCATCGTTGTGCTCTTTGGTTACCTGAGCAATGGTGTGAGCCCTGAGTGCACCATGTCTGATCTCTGTCACTACTGCTCAGCTCTGCTATTATAGTACAAAAGCAGCCATAGACAACACATAAGCAAATCAGCATGACTATATACATGCCAATAAAATGTTACTCATGGCACTGAAATTTGAATCTCACGTAATTTTTACATGTCACAAAATAATACTAAAAATATGATTTTTTACACCATTAAAAATGCAAAAACTATTCTTAGCTCTCAGGCCATACAAAAAAACGGGCAGCGGACTGAACTTGGCTATAGTTTGCCAACCCTTAGTTTAAAGTGTATTGCACCTTTTTCACTGTGGCCAACCTGGAGGGCCCTGCATGATCTGGCTCAGGCCCCCTCAGTGTCCCCACTCAGCGTTTACTGTGTCTCAGCACAGGGACTCCTTTCTTTTCCTAGGATGTGACAAATTCATCCCCCTCAGTCCTCCCCCTGTGGTTCCATCTGCCTGATCTCCTGTTTCCAGGATGTTGAAATGAAAGTAGCAGCCAGGTGGAAAGTTGTCTTCCCATGTCTCCAGGAGATAATGGGTCCTCAATGAAAAACCACCATGTATCACGCTGTGTCCAAACCCTGGTCAGGCACAAGTGGCATACCTGCAATGAGCACAGGGAAGCCTGTAGGGTAGTGTGACCAATGACCAGGTCCTCTCAGCTCTTGCAGGACCTCGGTCATATTTTGATGGCCAGTCAAAAACAGCAGGAGGGGTGTACTGACTTATAGTTTGAGCATTCAAAATTAAAAATACTCCAAAATCTGAGATTTTCTGAGTGCCATCATGGCACTACAAGTGGAAAATGTCACACTTGACCTCACGTGGCAGGTTGCAGTCGAAACTTTGTTTCATGCACAAAATTATGTAAAATGTTATATAAAATTACATGTATAGAAGGTGTATATACAACATAAATGAATTTCGTGCTTAACCTTGAGTTCCTTTCCCAGGATATCTCCTTATATATGCAGATATTCCAACATCCAAAAAAATCTGAAATCTAAACCTGTATTAATTTTTTATCATATACCCTTGTAGTTTTTAAAGTATTCTACTACAACCATGTATCAATAGCTGCATCACATTTCTCAGTATGAACAGTGCGCTCACCCAGTCCCTATTGTCAGACACACAATTTGTCTTCAGTCTACTTGCTATGTACAAAATTTTTAATCCCTGATAACTAATTCTTACATATATTTAGGCTTTCCATTGGTCCAAAATCTATTCCTCTACCAGTATCACATTGTTTTCATTATTTAGCTTTATGTTACTGTTAATATCTAATAATACAAATGATCTCATCTCCCATGAGCCTTTCTGAATTTGCCTTAGCTACTTTTTCTTTTTTTTTAAGGTAGGGGGTAAACTTTCCAAACATTCTAAGTTCTACAAACACTGTTTTAGACCAGTGTTTGAAAATTTTTCTTAGTTCCCCACTATCACCTCTGAATGAAATTTTTATTAGAATGACATTAAATTTATTAATTTAGAAGGGATATCTTTATTGAGTTTTCTCATCCAGGAGAATGTGTTTCTCTGTTATATTTTCAAGTCTTCCTTTACATATCTTAATGAAATGTTATAGTTTTATTTATACTGATCCAACATATTCCTTGTTAGTCTGTGTCTAGGACTTTTTATTTTTTATTTTTATTTTTTAATTGTGGGGTACAATTCAGGGTTAAGTATACAAATATTGTGCAGGTACCTTTGTTGATGAGGTGTGCCCGCCGCCCCCCCAGGAAGATTTTGACTACTGTCAATCCCACC